TAATGCCCATCAGACCACCAGCACTAATTGCCAAAAACATCCAAATTTTTATTTGTTTCTTGTGGGTAAATGTAGGTATTACAAACCTTCCTGAAGCTGAGGACCTTAACGCTCTTATAGGGGCGCGCTCTGGCTTCTGTAAAACTCGAAATGACCGGTTGAGTCCACTCCTAAGACAAGTCACAACAAGACTATTGATGTAGCCTCCAGTTTTCTCATTTCCCTGTGAGCACAAACAAAGTTAAAATTGAAGGCAGTGAAGTGTGGTGAAAGTTAATGTACTTGCAACCGTATACCGGTATACGCCACCCATCCCAAAAGAGACTCATGTTTGGTCAACGCACATTTTTTATTTATTTTGGGTAAGGTGCAACTGGTATAATCATGGATCATATAAAAAATGTATTTATTCTTACTAAATTTATCATAAGGAAATTGCTTATACTTTTTTGGGAATTTTTGTTAATAATTTACATGAAAATATATTTGTATTTAATCAAAGTGAACTTTTTTGGGACAAAATATGCATTGACAAAAGTTGCGTTTGAAATAGGACTCTTTTTTGGGATATGGAGACTATGATGTAGTTGAAAGTTAAAATGCAAAGCATCATTTCAAATAAATAATAACTTTTGAAGGAAAAAAGAAAATAGGAAGGACCTCTGAAAGTGAATAAGGGGATTAGATACCAATGTTTACCAAATAAATTGATAGAGCTAAAATAGCATATGCTGAAGCTCCAATTGACCATACCTGTGTGTAAGAGAATGACACCAATCTTGAATTACCAAGCCACCGTAATCCCCTAACAACAGTGCTATGGACATAAAAACTAGCAGCAACAGCATTGGCAGAGACGTCTATAACATCAATGGTACCACTTTGAGTTCCCAAAGCAACTAATGGAACTGCTACAGCAGGAGAGTTTCCCCCACCTTCATGGTTGTGCCACTCATTATTTAGTGCACAGAAATTTAAGAACTCCTATCTTTGAAAATGTTGAATTAAATGAACACATAAAATGGTGAAGGATATAGTACACACGTGCCAATGTAGCTGTCAGTGAAGGAGATGGAACAGCAAGCATAGTCACTGCGGAAGAAAGAAGACGAAGCTGTCCTACTAGCATAATCTGCATCAAGGGGTTAGACCTTTAGCTTCATGAACCTAAACCTTGATAACCTAGTTTCACTCCAAAAAACAATGGCCCATAAGGGACAATGATAAAGTTTACTGGATAACTTGTGTTAGAACGTTATATGTTGAAACATGAACCTTAAATGAAGCTTCATCAGTTTTAGCAGCATTTGACAGAAAGCTATTGGAAGGCAGAAACTCCATCTGATGATCTCCCTGAGTTGTACTTATATATGTTGCAATGCTACGCTTTTTAGCATCCTTTTGTACTTCTCCAGGTCCTTCCGCAGTTAGGAGCCATTTCCATACTTCCCCATCATCAGAAATTGAGACTAAAGGTGTTTTAGAAATTACAAGAGATTCATTAGAAGAATCAAGTGGATTATCAGAATCCAAATAAAGTGAATGATGTCCATCTGAATATAGCTTGCTGATACTCTGAAGAGTAGAATCTGAGTGGGAGATAACAACTGCAAGAACCGAGGGAGAAGGGACAGATGTACCAACTGATGGAATCAGTTCTTCCATAGAACCCATCACATATACCTGTTCGCCTCTGTTAAAAACTATGGATATTGTTATGTAGTAAAGAGAAAAGTCAAAACATTGACTTCAGAAGACAGCATGGGGTTTCAGAGACTAGAACTCAAGAGGATGCAAGGAAAAAAGGATCGAGTACAAAGAAGAAAACATTGATGTCTACTGCTCACAAAATTTAGTAAACAACCTACAGCATTCTGAATAAAAAATTAATATAATCTGAACTGTGAAAATTAACTTTGGAAACTTCGACAAAAATAGTGAAGCTTCTTTTTTAGCATTTTTTGCATCATGTTCAACTAGATATACATCACAATAATGACCTATGCCCCTATCCAATCCATTCCATTTGCATCTCCTATTTTATTCAGCCATTGAACTACCAAGATCTTGAACCCGCGCATGTCGCTAAGTTGGTACTCGGCTGTAAAGTTTGCATCATGGACCAAGTTTCAGATCATGTGAAATTCATTCTCCTAGGGAATACATTCCTCTACCTAAGAAACCGGTTAGTAGGGTGATTTAAACCTCTCCACAAGTCTTGAGAAGGGCAGTGGAGGGGTACCTCAGTGGGTGGTTCCACTTCGACCTTTTTTGGCAACAGAATCTTAAGGAGCTGACACAACTGGTCCTTTGATGCAATCAGATGCTCTAACCAAAACACATGCTTTGGTAATTGGTACCATTTAACAACGATTAGCTACCATCAGCTGGGCATTATTTCATCTTAGGATTAAATCCTAATTCAAATGGATTGAAGAATGTAAATGCCACATATGTTTGAATGCTCAAACTGTCAAAAATATGTCAAATGTAACACTTACTGTTTTCGCCTCCAGGTACTGAGCTTCCCGTCAAGATGAGCACAGTAAAGAACCTCAATGTTGGTATCTGGTAACACTCCCAGAAACTTCCCAACACTTCTATGCAACACAGTAGAGTATAAAGCCGTTTCATACAGCAAATCAAACACGACCAGCTCCCTAGGAAATACCACAAAGAGGATATGCTTCCAGTGAGGTGAAAATGAGAAACGCACTATATACTTGGGGAATGTTGCCAATGCGGGAGCGCCAGTGGAACCAGTAGCTAAGTCTCTCTCTAGCTTCTGCAATTCCGAAGTGTCTGTACGGATTTGCAATTCTTTGAATGCAACGTCATCCTCAGAATCTCCTAGGGCTTTAACGGAAAGCAAAAAGCCCTTAAGACCAAGAGCGCAAAAACGCCGAGAGTCAAAGGGATCGCGACGGAGGCAGGATAAATACTCCGGAGAAGCGTCGTATTTGAAGAAACAACGCCCGGTGTAAGTATTGAACAGATTGAGATGAGAAGGCCCGGCTATAGCAGCAAGGATCCAATTCTCAGGTCCTGTTTGGACCCAGCAAAGGTCCTGGATCCCTAGCTTGTGACCCGAGCTGTTTTCGAAGAAAATCAGAGGGGATTTAGACCTAAAATCGAGGAGACAAATGCGTCCTTGGCGGTCGCCAACGGCGATGATGAGGTAATGGTTCGTGGATTCAGAGGAGACTAGACGGTGAGGGAGACCAAGCGGGGACCACCGCAAGGCAGTGATGAAGGGAGAGAGTGCAGGGGAAGTACCGGATGATGGGGGTAGAGGGATAGTGGTAACGAGCTGCATGGAGTGAGTTTCGACGATGGAGATTGAGCTTCCGGCGGCGTAAGCGAGAAGGCCGGTAGGGGATATGTCAGCTGCTCCGCCGTTGCTGCGGGAAGGTGGGCCCGGGAGCATGCAGTTCCATGATTCACTGGGCGGTCGGTGGGCCGACATTTCGCTCTGAAACTTTGTAAGTCAAAATGCAGTAAAGAATTTGGTTTCACGAGGCACCGGAGAAATAGGTGGTTCGCCGGAGGAGGAGATCCCAACTCTCAGGCAGAGTAGAGGGATTGAAGTCGGCATGGAAATACGGTTAGGTGTCAGTTTTGAACCGTTAAGTACTAGGAATTGCCATAAGAAAAGGAAAACACATGCACCTTTATCTACGGCTCCCTCGTTTTATTTGGAACAATACGTGGTACGTAGTATTTAAAGAAAAAGTAAAGAGTATAATAAATATGAATTTTTTCAAAAATAGTACTAAAAAAATTATTTACATAAATATTATTATTAGTCATTGCACTGTGCTGTCATGATGACTTAAGTTTAAAATTTTAATACTATCGTATAAATTATTGTGATTTCAATACTATTTTAGTAACAAGTCACATTTTTGTAAACAATCTTTATCTTATTCATAAATATATAATTATTTTTAATAAATAGTGTATAAAAATACTTTTTTGTCTTGTCTCACTTTTTTGGGGAGAACTCTCGCAAAAATATATAATATACCAAATTTTGTAAAAATTGTGTCGTTCTAAATAATTTTTACTTTATTCTTACTTTATCAATTCAATATCAATCACATAAACTTACTTTCTTCATAACCGTGTAACCTCATCATGTTCCAATGTTAGTGGGGCGGGGGTAGTATGAAAAAAAGTGAAAGAGTATGAAAGATAAAAATAAAAATACAAAAAGTAAAGGTAATTAAGTAGTTTTAAATGAAACACTAATTAAAAAGGACAAGTGTGGCAAAAAAAAATGCATCCCAAAACGAAAGGACTACTTTGTATTATAATTAATTAGGCTTATGCATACCAACGATTTACAAGTGCATATATGAAATTATGTCTCGCGATATGCCCTAGCGACTACTGCTCATGTAGGGAAGGTTTAACCGCGGCCTTGTGCAGCTTTGATTTTTCAGTCATTCTTGTGTAGTTAAATTAATGATGGTTTTGGATGAATTTACTATATTCATGAACGAGTTTTCATCAGCGGCAACTTCTATTCGTAGGTTTTTGGCATTTGAGTTAGTTTTGGTGGTTGTTACGTCGACAACAGCTACACCTGTAGTAGCAGTGGTGAGATAGACTGAAGATCCAACTTCCAAGTCTGCAGTGGTGGTCTTAGTATTGGTGATGGTATAGAAAGCGTTTCCAGGTAGCACAGGATAGGTCATGTCATTGGGCGATCTCAGATATGTAGTACATAGTTATGTACTTATGTGTATAGCGGAAGTGTTGTCTAGGTCAGGTGTTCCCGCAAAGTTAGAACTAAATGTGGATGATGATGGAAGGGTAGCACGAAGAGGCTGGAACAATCTACATCTCGACTTTTAAGTGATGCAATGGTTCTGGATGGAGAGCGGAAGATCCAATGGCAATTGGCAAAACGTATATATGAGTCTATATCTAGTAGAAGATCTGAAGATGTAATCGACACAATTATATCAGAATAACAATGTGATTAAAATCATGTACGGTGGTATCACTGGTATGTAATGAGTAATTGTTTTATATAGAAACAAAAGTAGTACATTAAATATGCTATGACAATGTACACAAGCAAAATAAAGGATGTATAAGAAGTGTACAAAAAGGCTTTTTCTAAGAACAAGAAACCCTCTTTCTAAATAAACAAGAAACCCACTTAAAACGGGGATGGTACGATGTAAAGATCCACTTTTGCAATGGCATGTTAATCGTGGAGACAATCATATACAGTGAAGTCATCATAAAGCAAAGATCCATCGACATAATGGAGCATGTAATAGCAAAGATCACAGAAATAACAAGGATTTTCACCAGCCCATTTATCGTCAACGGTCACCTTTTCAGCTTTGAATATTTTGCAGACAGAACATTTGTGAAGCCTCTTCTTCAACTGAAATGTTACTAATGGGTAAGCAGCTTGGTTCTGCACATCCTCTGGGTGTATCAACCTCATATCTCGTATCACCATTAGATGTTTGCAGTCGCCCTTGGGACAGGTATAAAGGAATGTAAAATCAGCAGCATATTAATTATTGCTGTGTACATACTAATATACAATAATCATTTTTTCATTAATTGCTCCTATAGGATTTTCACAAAGTTTGAAATGCAAATAGTAAAGATATGAGTAGTCAGAGAGATGATAAAAGGTTTTTACAAAAGGCAGGATAGAGAAGATAAAACGGGTAAAGTTTGACAAATTGAGAAACATAGTAAATAAAGAACTTCCCTAACAGAAATAGTGAGAAAATAATAAAAATGGAGTATTAGAAATGATGATGAGAAAAATGAAGGCAAGTCTTTGTACTAAACTAAAATGCCTCCAACTACATGACCAAAACCATTTTTTTATATTTTACCTGGTGACAATAAATATACCCAGCTCCAACTCGAAATGTCAAGTCACAAAACCGAACATTTTGCATCTCATAAGCTTTGAAGCGAGGTAGTGGAACTACTGCATCCTTGCCTAAAAGTGATTTCTGCTTCTGCAGCAATTCACCTGAATTGATACATTCCCATTTTGCAGCTGCCTCCTCTGAATTTTCAACCCAGTCCAATATTGGCCTACTATAGTCAATGGCATGTGGATCCCTCAAATCATTGCAAAATACATCCTGCAAAACCCATTGTAGTTCTTTTTTTATTATAGATATGTTTCTCAGACCAGCCAGGCATGAAGCAGAAAGTTTATTAGTCACGTAGTTACCTCTATAAGAAAGTAGCCAGATGGATCATTCTTGCCTGCCCTACTCATTATTTCATCTGTGATGCAATATATCTTGTCTCTGATTTCAGTTAAAAATTGCTGCCCTAAGACTACAAACTCTTGACTCTGCAAAAAATAGGACCACTTATGTTTTATTCATCAACCATAACTTATTTAGTCTTTAATTTAGAAAACCTAGTAATTCTAAATTTATAACCCAAGATTCCCTAGTAGGACTTGCACAGTAATTTACAGTCCATACTTTATTACTCAATAATTTACACATTTGATAACAAGAGGTGGATCTGGTGGTGGTGAAGGTTTCGAGTGGTGGTTTCCAGTAGCAGTTTTTCGTGGCTTTTCCGAGCAACTTTTTAAGGTGACTTTTCCAGCTACATTGAATATTTAAAGTGAAACAGCTAGACAGCCTCCATGGGGAAAAATCAATTGATTGTTACGCCAAGCAATATGATCTGTTACCAATACTCGCATTATTTCAAACTGCAAGCATGAACTGCTCAGAGTCTCTGGTATTAATCAAGAACCATGTTATCTACTCTCATCTTTTAGTCCATGGTTTAACTGCATAATATTACGACCACCCATCACCTCAATAGCGCATCCGTGAAGACATATTACTCCAAAGATGCAAAGAGAGAAAATTCATGCAGTCTTGTTCAATCCTTGTTCATTGGTGTGAAACTCAAGACCCATCCCTGGCAACACGATAGCATGCATTTGTTCCAAATCCATGATGACCATGCAAAGTCTATCTTTTCTCAAACATGTGTTATTGTGTGCGTGTGTGTGTGTATGTTACAAATCAGACATCCTACAATACTAAGAATCAGGCATAGAAAAAGAAAATAGAATATATACATCTGATATAAGATGCACGGAAACTACAGGAAGGAGTATGCTTGCGATTCAGAAACTCTCCAAAAACTTGTTTTTCATTTGAAAGATGACATTTCCCTTTTCCCCAAATTTCTCGCGTTTCCGTGCAACATAGCATATAACTGAACATAATTAACTGTCTCTTTATTAGTACTTTCAGGAATACAAAAGTATTACTCAAGCATAAATTACCTTCATTAATGGCTTTCTGCTACGATAAACCTCCACGAATAAAACAACTTCTGGGAACTCAACTGGCACATGTTCCCTTGAAATAGATGGCTTCATAGGGCATACCTTTTTATGGAACATGAAAATTATAAAATCTATAAGGTAAAAGTAAATTGAACAGCGATTTGTTTGGGCCTAAAAAATCGGTCCGTCATCTAATAGTGTATCTACCTGTTGTGATATGGAATGAGAAATCAAGAGTCAAAATACCAGAAACACAAAAGTAAAAGACTTCTCAAAACAAACCTTTCTTGATGAACTTATGGACCTCAATGATGTTAACCTACTACATTTCTCAGACACTTTTGGTGCGGAGTTAATCTTGCAACTGCCACTGAAACACAGAATACAAAGCAGAAATTAATAAATAATCTATGATGAATGACTCTCACCTGTCCAAAAAAAGCCACTGCAATGGAGAAGTAGCACATCAACTTGATATCAGAAGATGCTAACTTGAAAGAATGCAATCTCACTGATGCTTTATCTTCCTCTTGTTTATGCTTAACTCTTGCAATTTGTTCGACTTTAGCAATATAACTTTCCTGGATATGCAAGATGATGCCATAATCACATAAATCAGCACAATGTATACTCAAATGAAATAAACAAGGGTGAAATCACATAAAGGTAATCAGATAAAGAAAGAGTGCAGCCACTCAAGGAATAGCTTCTCCACGCAGTTTTTTCCTTGTCTGCTCTTTCTCTTAGCTTGTAAAGGCGTCGCCCCTCATGCACCATATATTTTGAGGGAGCTTCCACATCTATGTGTGTGAGACCGTATGGGCGAGGGGAGGGAGGAAGCTCACATAATAAAAGGCTAGGATATAAGCATATAATAAAGAACGAATCAAGTCAATTAAGTGCATACTTGAATGTCATTGCGTTTCCTTTTAAAGGAACTGTTTTTCTTGCATTTCCTTTTTCCAGGAGATCTACAAGATACTATTTGTGAAGTTGGAGTTTGAGCTTCTTTCTCAGAGATTTCCAAGGCAGCAGCATTAGATCCAGCATCATCTGGCTTGTCACCAGTTACTAACTCATCATCCTGTCATCACCCATGTGTGAACATGTCAAGCTTATGCTAACAGCCAACTAAGTAAAAACTTTCTAACAATTTTGATATTTACACCTTGAATGCTTCTTCAAATGCCATCTTTACCAGATCTTCCTCATTTTCAGTTTTGAGTTCCTTTACCCTTTAAGAAATTGCATGGCCAAAGTCAGTCAACAGCCACGAACAGGAGGGGGGTGATAAAGTATAAGAGTGAGGCTCTATGACTCTAACAGGTTCTTTTAATCTTTCTAATTAAAGAATGACAACATTTTTCTCAAGTGGAGTGTTGATAGGCAAAGCAATAGAGATTAAGTGAAAGTGAATGGAAAAAAGAAAACATAGGTAAAAAATATACTCACGAGATTTCATCATCATACGTTCCAAGCGAGTCACAACATAATTCCTCCCTAAGATTCTGCATCAGATAAATGATGATTACTGATTCACGAGTTGGCCCCAAATAGGACGCTCATACGCCTTTGGGAGGCTACGACAGAATATTCAAATAGGAATAGAATTATGTGATTAATGAAGTAGTCTAGAGAGAAATTGGCAGCACTCTAGTAAAGTACAAACGGCGTGGTGTTACAAGTGACCTTCAAAACCTATTTATAGACGCTTACAAGACATGTCCACTCATGGTTCAAAAAGGCAGAGGCGCACCTCAAGGTGAAGCATACAAAGCAGGTACAGGGCTTAGGTTTTTTTCTCAGGTCAAGAGGCTTACGCCTCAAAAGTTAATGCGTACAGCGTACACCTTGAGGTGAGGCATTTTATGTTACGTGATTTCCTTTGTTTCTATCTTTTTGATGTGTTGAAACTTAAGAAAGTCCCAATGTAATTTATTTATTAAAAGGCCGATACATTAAACATGTGTCCACAGTCCACACTAAATCCCTAACAAGCCTTGTTTCATTTAATGTATTCATTAATCGTTAAATGTTTGCATACTTCTGCACAAAGAAGATTTCATACTCCTGCACAAAGAAGTCAACAACTTCCTACGAACACTCCATTCTTCCAAGTAACTTCTCCCCTCTTCTACTTCATTCCTTCTCCTCGCCTGCTCCTCCTCTTCTTCTTCATCCCTCCTCCTTCTTCTTATCCTCTCCTTCTCCTTCTTCTCTCCTCTCTTTCTTGTACTGATTATAGATCATGTTTTCCAAGAACTGGTCAAGGTTTTACAAAAGACTGAAAGATAGAAACCTTAAATTAGATCCCTAATTAATGATGAGGAATATCGTTAATTAATGGATTTTGTTCATATCTGTGTTTGTGTTTGACATTATTATAGAATAATAATTATGCATTTCTTTAGTTGTTTATGACTACCTCCGTCCCAGCCTGGTCAGGCTGCTCCTGGGCTTTGGGCTGAACAGCCCATCAGTATTTGTTCTGTCCTATTATCCCAACACATTACATCATCAAAAGAAAAAATTGAGAACTTAACAAAAAAAAACTTTACAAAATAGAACCATATGGAGTTATGGAAGGCTTCATACCTTGAGTTCATTGAATGCAGAGAGTTCAAAATTTGGAGCCCTCATGAGTGCACTAATCATGTCAGGGGCATAAATTGGACCACCACGGGGAATCAACACACTGGAATCATCCCCCCCATCATTGAAATCCAAATATGAAGAAGCCATTAAGACCTATAATGGAAAAACCTGAAACCTAAACAAAATGACTATTGTCTATTGGAATACATAGCAACAGAGCCAACATTGCACTAAACTCGTGTCATTGAAAATATTTAATGGGTCCATGGCAATCAGTGTTATCAATAGTGGAGAGTGGATTATGGCAGAAGGCTAAAACCCGCTATATAAATATAGTGAATAGCATTGTTGTAAATAGGGGAAACATAGAGGATTAGGTAAACTAAATGAGTTATATAACATTTATGTATATAATAAACCATACAAGATGTAAGCATTAAAATAATAATATAGATTTTAGTACAACTGAAATAGTTACAAACTTAGAACTAAACTTAGAATCATCTCACTAAACTAATAAACCACGAAAGTTCATAGTTTTCTTAAATGGAAGTTTTAATAAACTAAATAATGAGCTAAAACAGCTGCCAAGTTTCAAATTGAGAGCACTAAGAAAGAGAGTAAGGGAGTATAGAAGCTAAATATTAGATGTGGCAATAATAAAAGGTACTACACTTGAAAGCAGGGGCAGCCAGGATGGAAATTCAGGGAGGTGATCTAAATAAAAAAGTATATTCAAAAAATCAAGCAAACAAATTCCCTTTTTCTATTCTCATCTCTTTCCCTTACAGCCAATGACTAATTTATTCTGTTTTCCAGGATCCCGCTCATTTTAACCGCATCAAAACAAATTCTTCTTGAGCGGAAGAAATATTCGGAGTATCAATCACGTCATTCAGCTCTTTTCTGTTTTATGTACTTGTAGTAAGTTTAAAAAACTAAGGGAGAAGGGTCAAATAGACCCTTCTACTGTTTCCAATCCATCACTTAAGCCCTTCTACTAAAAAAAACATCATTTAAGTACGCTACTTTTTAAATACAATAAATCAAGCCATTTTGACTGCTATAGCAAGTTATTTTAAAAAAATAAATTAGGACCGTTGATAATCTTATAAAAAAACAGATAAATTTGAAAAAAGATATAATAATAATAATAATATAAAATATAAAAATGGCATAAATGTAAAAATAGATAAATAATTTAAAAATTTTAAAATAAAATAAAATAAGGTAACTGAAAAAAAATAAGGTAACTGAAAAAAAATAAAGTGAAAATGTAAAAATATAAAATGTAAAAACCTATTGAATAGATGTAGAATATACAAATAATTTCAAGATTTCAAAAACATTGACTTTGACATTATGAAAATTTTCACAACTTTTATCCATATTTCTTCAAATTTTAACAATTTTCAGAGTTTTTTAATATAAAAAAACTATAGCAGGTCAAGATGGCTTGATTAATTGTATTTAAAATGTGAGCGTACTTATAAGGGGAATTCGGAATAGTAAAAGAGCTTATTTGACCCTTTTTCCAAAAAAACAATGCATTTTTGTGTTTGCTTATTTTAGAAGTAGATTGTGTAGGCGACTAGGCGTACCTACTTAAATGGACAAAAATTAGTGAAATATTCAACAAATTAGATTGACAGTGAAGTATATTACAATCATCATTAATCACATTAATACATTAATACTCCGTATGTTAAGAGTTTTAGTGACAGCAACCCCTAACCATCTTTAATTTCAAATTTTACAAATGAAATCACACAATCAATCACTTATTCAAAAACATTGCAATAGATTCACACTTTACAAAATCGTATTGCTATATTAGTAAACAAAAGTTTTAAAAAATTATATGAATTCGATGAATTTTTAAAACATGAAAACATTAAAAAACTTTAATTAAAATAAAAAATTCAAAAAACTTACCTGGCAGTGGCACTCGCAGGTTTGCGTCCTTGGCGAGCGGGCAGTGGGCAGCCGCAGGCGGCGAGCGGCGAGCAGCGGCGGACTGGGAGACTGGCGGAGTGGCGAAGCAGGTAACCAGGCAGTGCGCAGAACGCAAAGTCGCCACTCTTTTACTCCGTGTATCAAGCGACCTGCGGACTTTGTATGTTTATTTTTTATTTTTAACCATAGTACGGAGTTTTTTTATTTTATGTTTTGTTTTTGTATTTATACACTTTTGGATTTGGGATGTTTTCACTTGGATTGTAATTTACTGGTCTGGTCTGGTCTAATCTGGTCTGGTTTGGTTTCTTTGTATTTTTATAACTACCCAACTCTGGTCTGGTCTGGGGCAAATTACAGTCCAAGTAAAAATATCCTTAGTCTTTGCCAAAAAAAAAACTCTTCAGACCGTTTGGATGTAAGGTGGACTTTACGACTTTCTTTAGACTTCAGCATTGGGCCAGCTTTTTACGAGGCCACTCCTATAATTGTCACAAAGTGGAGTATCATGTTCCAAAATGTTGAATCCTCCACCCAAGGGTTCCTACATCCCGATCTGTCAAGACATTTGGAGAATGTAAGTCACACTGATTCAATCAACCTAATGGTGGTAGACCTTGTACTCGTGCGACCAAAAGTTCAACCCATCACACAGGAGTTGTAACTTCGACATGGTCACTGCGGATTTATACCTTGGGTCTATGTCCCCCTCCTTCTGCCCTTGCTTGAAAGGTAATACCGAGTGTTTCTTTAACTATATTTTATCTTTTTTGTAGCATATGTTGTGTTAAATGCCAACAGCCTTAACTGGATGGATTTCGAACTTGTGACCTCCTCCTTGGGAAGTGTAACAGAGATGTCATCGAACCATGAGGTGTTGAAAGGTAATATTGCATACTATGCTATCAAAAACTCCATAGTATAGGAGTGCAAACACTGACACACCTAGATCAGAGAAAAATACTCCGAAGTATGTGTTATTTTTTATAAGAAATTATGTAGGTTGTACTATTATCAACCATTGCGTACTGATACCAGTCTTATATATTTATCATCAATCATGTCTTCATGAACATATAGAAAAATACTCCTCTTGAATCAAAATCTTGTGTATGTGACTCATATCTTTTTCTCATTAAATGGCGACATATGTCATGTATGTATATCATCCGTTTTTTAATGTCATTTTTCATTTCATTTTTTTCCTTTTTTCTCACAAGAGTAAGAAAAAATAAAACATTCCTATTCCTCATTATCCGCAACTTCCTTCCTTAAATAGATTATTCGTAGTAACTAATTTCCTATTTTTGCTTATGGTAACTTTCAATCCATTCTTTCGTTTCCTTCTTCTACTTCAGGTTTATATTTCCATTTCTTTCAATTTTGTTTTGCTTCATACATCCTTTTCTCTTTCTCGTCCACTTCCACCATACAAGTTGTGTTGAAGGTAGATGATCAATAATTGTCTAACATGCTCTTTAAACATGTTGATGGTTAATGGCCATGTTAATTACATAAGTCTAGACGATAATGATTCCGAATGTGAAGATGAAGATGATTCACTAAGGAAGGTGTAGATGAATGAAGATGGAGATGAATCTACACAAGTTTAGGCCATGTTCCTTTGATATTGTTATGCGGTCTGTTATCTCCCATTTTTAAAGGTTTTTTAAATCCTCTAATTTTATCTTCACGCAATTATAAAAGACTGTGTTATCTTGACATTATGGATCAACACTGAACAGAGCGACCTAACATTATATGTGGTCCTATTAACTATTGACCCACCAACTCGACAAAAATAAAAAATAAAAACAGTAACTCATTTTTGTCAGGGGCAGACTCAGAATCATCCAAGCCCTGCAAACCCGGAAAATTTTAATCAAGAATCAAGAGCATCCAACATTCCAAGACGATGTCTGTGCTTGTTGGAAATTAATATTTAGTAAAGGTAAACATACATTTCCTACGTTAAGTTAAAACATATGAGTCAAGTATTACATTTTTAGCTTGGATAAATATACATATTCAGTAGTAGGATTTTTTTATTTTTCTTCCCTAAATATGGGAAGCCTATACGTACAGCCGGTTGTACGGAGAGCGCCGTACAGCCGGTTGCATTTTGATAATTTAAATGAAATTCGTGTCTTTCGCTAAATGAGCATTTATATAATGCAGTTTTAGTAAGCATCAGACATGTTCTGTTGAGCATTAGAAGGCTAACAATAAGCATCGTGATATCTGCTTCATTTCTTCCAATTCACATTCTTTTTCTTATTTTTTCTTTTATAATAACTTATTAAATCATATCTATAATCATTTCTATGAGCTTCAACATGTGAATCTAAAGTAATATTGCACTTTTGAAATATGCATTGATATGACATTTTAAAAAAGAGCATAATATGAGTACCAATTGAGCATACATAACTTACAAAATGAGCATTGATATGAAAATCATAAGTTTTTTAGTTGAGCATCAAGACATTTTCATTGAGCCTCATACATTCTTTATATATTGAGTATTAAAAACATGCAATTGAGTATCATGACATGTGCTCTCGTATCTATAATCAACTCCTACGTGAATCTAATTTATTATGGTACTTTTAAAATATGCATGGATATAACATTTTAAAATAAGCATCACATCAATACCAAATGAGCATACTTAATTTACCAAATGAGCAATAATATGAAAATCATAAACTTTGTTAGTTGAGCATCAAGACATTTTCATTCAACATCCAATTTTCTCTATTGAGTATCAGAAGAATGCAATTGAGTATAACGATCTATGTTCCTATGTAGATAATCTAAGTCTTATGCAAATCTTATATGATACTTTTGAAATATGTATCAATATGACATTTTAAAGTGAGCATATGTAACACCGTCCCCAAATATATTTACTTTTATGTAAATAATGAATTGAACCTTACTAAGGGATTAATGAATTTACGAAGTTGTAAATTTTTTATTATTTCTTTCGCGTGAATAGTAAATTGCACGTGGGACCCACACCGGGAGCGGGGGCCGCCCGACATTCCCGAGACCATATATTTTATTCATCTTGGTCTAGATAGTAAATATATAGTGTGGATATTTCATTTGGGCCATGGAAAGGCCCAGAGTTGACCGATTGGTCAAAAGAAGCCCAAATTACTGGTACTAGTAATTTAACAGATAACAGCCCGAACCGAATTTCGGAGGCTTATAAATTAAAGTTGGGGAATGCATATTCATTATACATGTCATAATGAGTAAGAGCACACAATATATTTTATTTGACCCGATAAAATAAAATATGTTTAAAACTGTCCGAAAAATACAACTTTCGGGACCGATTGTACACATCGGGACACAAAGGGATGACCTCCCACATGAGTGGGGGCCACCCCACGTTTTTGTGAGCTGGGATGGGCAAGGAAAAAGGGCTGGTTGACTTGTAAGGGGAGAGAGTGAGGTGATGAGCATCAAAGGTACACCCATGGACCCCATTCTCCCTCACTCATTGTCCAAGCAAGACAAAAGAGCCAACTCCAACCCCCCTCACCCCATTAGCTCGACCACACCATCCAAGGAGGAGAGAAGGAGCTTCAAACTCACCTCCATTGCTGCAAATTTGAGCTCAAGCTTTAGTGCTCAAAGGAAGAAGATTAAAGAGGGAAAAAGTTGGGAAGACTGTGAACAATTAAGGTAATGACCTTATATTAACTTTTCCTTTATTTTTCTTCCACCATATGAAGTATATATCATATGAAGAACCTTTAGTATGGTTCCATATGTTATAAGTATGGATTCATGGGTTGGAAGGTGGTTCTACGTCCAAAAACGGACTTAGAAGCCAAAACGACCGGTTCACCGGAAAATAACCTTTTTGAGGTTATTTGTATTAATATGGGTTTTATGATTATAAAACCTTGTTAGGAACTTGTGAAAGGTATTTCAAGTGATTTCACAAAGTTGGAAAAGTCGCCGGAGTTGTCGCCGGAGTTGACCGGAAGTCGCCGGAGTTTCACCGGAGTTCAACCAAGAGGGGTAGAACTTCATAACGCTAGTTCAAGGTGAGTGGACGGCTTAATATCTTATAACTTTTGGGTTAATTATGAGATTACCTAAATAAATGTTATATGTGTTCATAATGATGTTTAAAAGATATTTAAACATGTGTTTAGCCAACATTATTAAGTTGTATGAAAAGAATTAATTGTTTATACATGAAATATGATATGAGGAATTATATAAAATGCATATTAGCTTGAAGTGTAAAAGAAGCACAAATGAGTATTATTAACTTAATTATATGATGATTTAGTTAATAAGTGTAAGATTTGAGATGGCGGTCAACAACAACGTTGACCGATGGATAATGGATTAATTAATATCGATTGGTATTAATTAATTATACATTTACATAATTGCATGGCTTTGCATGGAATGTGATACATAAGTTCTATGTATTGAATTAGTTATGAATGACTAAATATGATATAGACCCTATCTAGTGTGATATGTGGTAAGTCATAGGTCGGGTGGAGTACCCAAGGATCGGGCGGTTATCCTCAAAACTCGGTTATATAGGGTGGAGTACCCAAGGATCGGGCGGTTATCCTCAAAACTCGGTTATATAGGGTGGAGCACCCAAGGATCGGGCGGTTATCCTCAAAACTCGGTTATAGGGTGGAGTACCCAAGGATCGGGTGTGTATCCTCAAAACTCATAGATTACATTTAATGATCTAGGACCGGGCGGTGTCCTTATGATAATTTACTTGAACAAGGAGGAGTTCTATACACTCATAGGCATATGGGTGGGTTGGGATTTAAGTCAAGGATATTGGCTACTATTATTTTCCCAAATAAACAATGACCTACGGGTCGGGTATTTCGAAGTGTATGTATACTAATATGTATTTCGAACTTGGGGAAAGGACTATACGTATATGTATCACCCTATGATTGGGTCTTATACTTGAAACGCTAGTTATTCTATATTTAGCCT